AAGCAATAACAACCCTCGATTGTCCAGGAAAAGTTCAGGGCAATAAACTGTAATATAATAGGGGAGATAACTACGAGTCCATGGTAGAGCTCGGCTACAGAGCAGTACGCGAGCAGCTAACCACAAAACAATGAGAGTAGATCTGAGAAAAGGATAGTAGACTGCATTGAAGAGCAAGTTGGGTCGTGTTATTGTGTTAGAGCAGAGTAGACTGCATTGAAAAACAAGTTGGATCGTGTTATCACATTAAGCAAAATAGACTGTATTAAAGAATGAGCTAGATTGTGCAAGAAAGCAATCAGAGAAAGAGGAAAAAATTGGTGCGTTTACACCAGTATGTTTACCATTCAGACGAATCAAGAAAGGCAGGTCAAGTTTACATTCCCCAATAGAATTTACAAATGCTAGCTAAAAAAAAAAATTAAATTAAAAGATCTTAAGTTTTTGAAGAAGGAACAGGTGGAGGATCCTGCAATGAAGTTTCTATAGCCTCAGCTGCAGGAACAGAGGCAGAGCTCAGCAGCTCACCAAGTAACCCTTCTGACAAGGCAGCTGTTGAAATCTCAGAAGAGCCAAGAACAGGTGAGGAGGCTGGGGCCTCGATCTCAGACAGAGCTCTAGTTACCAGATCAGCAAAAAATGACGTATTAGCTAGAACAGTTGGAGGAGTGGACATTTCAGTACCTTCCAGAGCCCTATCAGAGGTAGCGAGAACCAAGGTGTTGTCATCGCCATCTGAATCAGACTCCTCCAACACCTCCTCAGTGGGGATGGCAAAGTCAAAGTCGAGGTCTGAGTAGGCCTTCTCCACTTTGCGCTGAAAGGCCAACCATCCTAAGGCCCACTTGGTGGTGACATCATCTTTCAGCTCTACTATTATGTCATCCCTCTCCTTGACAGCTATTTTTTGCACCTCGAGCTCACCGCATAGGCCCNGAGTGGACATTTCAGTACCTTCCAGAGCCCTATCAGAGGTAGCGAGAACCAAGGTGTTGTCATCGCCATCTGAATCAGACTCCTCCAACACCTCCTCAGTGGGGATGGCAAAGTCAAAGTCGAGGTCTGAGTAGGCCTTCTCCACTTTGCGCTGAAAGGCCAACCATCCTAAGGCCCACTTGGTGGTGACATCATCTTTCAGCTCTACTATTATGTCATCCCTCTCCTTGACAGCTATTTTTTGCACCTCGAGCTCACCGCATAGGCCCTCGTTCGCCTCAGCCAGTATAACATACTCCTTCCTAAGGCTCTCGAGGGAGCCCCGAGCATCAAAGGCTTCCTGGCTAGCTTTTTTCCAGGCACTAGTTTTGAGTAGCAGCTCTTCCCTGGTCATCCTCAGCTCATCCCTGACTTTCTTCTCTCTTTCCTCAGCCCTATCCTTAGCAGCTTAAAGGCCTTCATAGTCAGAGGCCTGCTTCTCCATTTGCTCCTCGAGCTTCTGCACTTGAGCTCTGAAGCTCTCATTGTCAAAGGTCAGCTCAGCGACCTTAAATTCTTAGGTCTTCAAAACTTTGGCAGAATCCTCTGAAGATCGGACCCTACCCATCAAGTTCTTCAAGTGGAGAGTCATCTGGGAAAAAAAAAAGGAAGTAGACGTAGATCAGCACAATTCAACCGCGTCGAGCTAAGAGCTAGTGTGAAAGTACTTATAGTGGCTGCTCCCCAGAGAGCTAAGCAGAAAGAGGCTCAAGAGGCATGGTAGAGGCCCTCTGAGCATCGAATTCAGGGAGAATGGATGAAATGACCCCAGCAGCCAACTCAGCATTGTCGAAGAAGGAATCTACATCAGTCCCCTGGCCCTCCCTCCTTTCGACTTTGGGACCCCGGAGAGGCAGCTGGGATGGTTGCTCAGGCGGTCCGGGGGGTGCAAAAACTGGCTTGATTCCAGTTATTTGCCCCAATGTTTCCTCAACCTCAAAAGAGGTAGGGGAAGTCAGCCCTAGCTCCGAAGTCTCTCAGGGGGCAAACTGGGCCCCTCGAAAAGGAGAAGGGGTCAGGGATTGAGATGAGGGAGTCTGTCCTCCCTTGCTCAGGGCAGAGGAAGAGGGCACTCCCAACTTCTGCACTTTAACTCTGTCAGCGGGGCTGCCTCCAGAGCTGGTATCGGCCTTTCGTTTGCCACTTTTCCTACTCTTCTTCAGTAGGTTAACTTTGGCCTGGAGTTCCTCAAGGGTAGATTTCATTATGGAGAATCCTGGGAGATCTGGACCAAGCAAGTTAGACAAGAGAAAGGAAAAAGAAGGAGAGACAAGGGAACCAACTCAGAAAGTGTTACCTTCTATGTTTTCAGGCCTAACGACTGAGATAGGGAGCGGAGCTTCAATGGATACCTCAAGAGGACTGAATCCCTGTGCTATTAAGACCCAGGGCTTGATGAGCTCGGAGTACTTCTCTGGATTGCAGTTCTCCAACTTTCGCTTTACCCTCTCGTCCTCAGCACTGAGCTCTGGTCGAATGCCTGAAAAGCAACACAAGGTGAGCAAATGTCAAAAAGGCGACTCAACGATTCCCAAATCAGAGTTCAATCAGTTCGAGCAAGAGCTCACCTAAGTTATCAGGGGCGGACCAAGTTCTAGGGATACCTAGAGTATTAGTCCTGTCAGCAGGGTTGTACTCCTAGTGGGTGCCCCTAACAAAAAAGAATNAAAGAATTGTTTCTTTCAACCCTTATGGGAGCTCGGGAGGTGAGTAATGATTTGCCTAGCCGTGATTCGCTTGGAGATATATAAGAAACCCTCTGATGATGTGAGCTTGACATTAAAGAGATCCACAAGCAAGGAAAGGCTGGGGACCCCGAGTTCATGAATCTTGAAGAAAACCAGAAGACTCACAAGTACACCCCAGAAATTAGTAGAGAGCTGAGCAGGGCAGACATTGAAGTGTTGCAAAACACTCTTGACGAAGGGATACATAGGGAAGCAAAGACCATTCTCAAAAGCTGCCGCAAAGAAACATACCCTCTTGTGAACTTAGGCAATGTATGGGGTGTATTTATCTGGACACCAGGGCTGGACACCAAGAGGAAAACCGTAACAAGCACTAAGAATTCTCACATGAGAAGAGTCAACCTCACTGGGTCCTACGAGCTCAACGTGCCTAAAGGCGGCCCCTATGCCCGCTGCGCTGTCAGAGACTCCTATCCCACTCACCTTGTCCTTATCTTTGATAGGATTAGGGGGCACAGAAAAAGATGATGAGAATGGTTCCTCAGTATTTTCCTCGACATCGACAGCATCCACACCGGGAAATTTGTCGATTTCTTTGCCTACATCCCCTAAATCAGTGTCCTCTTCGGCAGACCTTTCCCCCAAGAGAGAAGCAGAGGAACGTGCAACTCTGGAAGGAGTAGACATGACTGGATAGGAGAAAGGTAAACTGAAAGAACGGTAGAGAGGGAGAATACTGATTAAGCACTCCTTAATAACCTTAGGGTCAGCGCAGTAGCTTCCAATAGCGAGGATTCGCACGATAGAAGACGAGTCCACGAAGTGGGGGAAAGGAGACAGGCAGTAATTTTGATTCCAAAAGTAAAAGAACTGAAAAGCCTAGAAATGCAATAGCCACCTCGAATTCGAGGGATCCAGAACGAGGAAATATAAAAAAGGGACAGAAGGGCGTACCTAGTGGGGAAAGAGCAACAAACAGCAGTCCGGAGCGAAATGGAAGAAAGAGGACAATGCGAATCCTCAAATCGAACCCACAAAACTCGATCTTGAACGAGGAATCAGAGAATTCCAAACCAGAAAGCCAAGAAATCGCAAGAAGAGAGAAGCAGCAGAGAAGTTGAACAGTGAAATAGAGCGGTTCAGATAATCGTTTGAGCATTTAAAGCCTGAAAGACGTGGACTGAAACGTGCGCGGGAAATGAGGAAGCCATGATTGCTGAAAGTCGCCAAAAAGGCCAAACTCATGTGTTCGCCAAAAAGGCCAAACTCATGCGTGTGCCAAGGTCAGCAACGTGCAGATCCTACTCGGTTTACAAAACAGCTCAACCCCTGCCCAAGCCCGCTTGAACCAGGGGTTGGGGGGCAACTGATGATACCTCAAACAAGCCCTAACTGTGAGGTCAGGTCAGGAGGTCGGGTCAGGAAAGACACAAGAAACTCAGAGAACCAGGGGTGGAGTTCCCCTTGGGAAGATCATAATTGAACCAACCAGAAAACAATTGGGTGACTACGGGAATTGAGTCTCACGCGTGAAACTCTCAACCAACCGAGATTCTCTCCTAAAATCAAGGAAGATCTCATGAATAATAGACAAAGATCTCGGCCGAAATCCCACGGAATAGAGGACAGCCTTATAAATACTATGCAACGTCTCATCGTAAAGGCAGAGAGAAAAAACCCTAGTCAGTTGAGCACTATTTGGTATTACATTCAACTAATCAATAAAGAACAAAAATGAGCAAGGTTCTCCATTGAAGAGTGGACTAGTCGAGCTCCTGAGCCGGTGAACCACTATATTTTCACTGTGTACACCCCTTAATCCCCTTAATATTTTATGGCAGCAACATATACAAGCCTTGTAGCTCCGATCCACACTCATCTCCCGTTACTTGCACCTTTTGCTCATCCACGTTGATTTACGCTATCAAAAAAAATCACCGGGCGAGTGAATGAAATATTAGGTTAATTTTATTTATAGAAAAATGAACTCAGACTGGTTTCTTTTATTAAGTTTTTAATTGCATTTAACATAAATTCTGGTAATCTTAATCCTCCCTCCATTTCTAAATACGTTACGTTTAAAGATTTTGCACAGAGATTAAAAAAATTATTAAATAACTCTAATATGAGTACAAAATAATTACAAAATACTAAAATACCCTTATTTAATAAAATATTTTGTGCAGTTATTAAGCCCTTGTTGAAAAACGGAGATAAGGGTAAATTTAAAAAAAAAATATTAATTATACTTTGATTTTCATTAAACGTCAAATATTATAAAATAAAAAAAAATTGTATAGACCATCACATATTTAAGAATGGAGAGTATTTATTTCACGAAAGCACCACCTTGCTGTTAAAAAGCAGGTGTGTGCTAGCGTTTACACAATGGCCGGCAATTAAATGCGTATCAAACTATGAATTCTTGTAGTACATTAATAGCAGCAACCAACAATCAATGACATAACAAGCTATGACTGTTTACGAAAAGAAATTCAAATAAATCTATCTATGATGAATCTGTTGTTATTTCTAACGTTCCTTCATCTCCTTTGGAAGTTAAGGAACTTGATGCCATAGGCAAAGACGAAGCAGAAAAGGAGTACCCAACCAACATGAGCCAGAGCAACAACTCCGAGAAAGTCATAGTCATAACCTAAGAACTCTTTAAGGTAATCCTTAACTGGTATGTCACCTAAACCTGGTACCTGAACTAGATTCGTCTTGTCGCCCAACTGAGACGTCACGAGGCCATATATTGTCCATGCCAGTGGAGAACCCCAATAATACCCCCTCCACCATACTGGAATTTGCTGCATATATGAAGTTGAAAACAATTAGATTTTAAAAAAAGGGTAAATTATACTTTGACCCCCTTTTCTATAGACTCAATTTAACTTTTCCCTTTAAACTATCTCATTCTTCAAATTGCTCCCAGAACTTGAATTGAGGTCACACTACCCCAAATACAAACATCCATTATCTTTTGGATGAAAATTGTCAATTTATTTGGGATAAAGTCAAAAAAAAAAAAAAACACACACACACACATAGTTCGGGGGAGGGGGAATGGAAAATTTTTCGTCAAATTTGTAACATCAAAGATAATTGAGGTAATGTGAAACTAAGAATATAATTTAAGGTACAATGAGAAAAATATGATAGTTGAGAGGTAATGTGCGAAACAGATCATAGTTGCAAGGGTCAAAGTGCAATTTGTCCTTGAAAGAATTTTCAAAAGAGTAATATTATTGAGATCTAAAAATCTGACTAAATTTATTGACCTAATGATGTAAATTTATTGTAATTATTGGATTAATACTAAGTTCTAATGTTTGATAGTTCTTACCGTCAATCTAAGTGAATTAGATCAATAAATTAGATTCCAATAGCATTGCTATCTTGAAAAGCACCTCTTAGCATTTAGAAATGAGAAGACATTGAAACAGTTTCATTCATATCATGATTCTTCTTTGTTTCCTATAGCATAGAATTTGTTTTTGTTTTCTTTATACTTGGGAAATTTAAAGATTATAGGTTATCTCATCTTCAAGTTTTTTTTTTTTTTGTTAACATGTTGCTCTCGCTGAATTACAACATGAATTTTAAATTAACATCATTTCACTCCTGACATATGTGAATTCAAGCTTCATTTCTTAGTCGTACCCACTAGATTATACAAATTTTTTTTTCTTTATTAAGCTGGGAATTAGAGATCTACCTTAGGTAATCTTGAGCCATAAGAATTGGAACAAATGTCTGCTTATTTTAGACAACCATTTGCAACATCATTCCTAAGCTCTACCAAGTAAAGTGGGATTGTGCCTTGACAGAGTTACTAGCACAAAGCCTTCCTTTTGTAAACTAATCCCCAAACTCAGCCTTACTCAAATATGGGGTAAAATTTCATCTTCGCTAGCATTTTTCACTCAGGTGAGATCGTCAAGATTCCACAACTTTTAATAACTCTTCCGTAGGGAACTATTTCAAATTTTTCTTACAATTCGCCACAGTTGCACTGACTAAACTGCGCTACACCTTGTCTTACCCACTCACCAGCTCTTGTTGTAACAACATATAATGATTCTAAAATTTTGAGGAAAAGTCAATAAATTTTTTGACGCAAAGATGAAAGTTTGCAAGTGTGCATCATGATCACTTAAAATATATATACTTACTCCTCAACTTTTTTGGGTTAGCTGTACTTACTGTCCGAGGGATAAGGAAACCAGAGAATAAATTCCAGAAGCCGAGGAAGAATGACATAACAATGGCTGCAATCTGGATGTTTGGAGTGAGTGCTACAATCATCATCCCATATAATGTGTAGTAGACAAAGCACATAAATATGTAGTAGTAGAACCACAAGAACTTGTCTGCTCGCCAGTCGAATCCAATCATGGAGTAAAGGAGTAAACTATATATGAAAGTCTGGATAGCAACATATATGGTCTCTATGGTCACCTGCACAGCTTACAATACTAGGAATTAGTTTTGCAGTGCACATTTTGTTGTAATTTTTAATTTTAATACCTTTTTCTAAAATACCTATCATATATTTGTACTTGAAATGTTACCTGAGCAAATGCATAAGGCAATGCTGAATACATCCCAGCTGCTTTTTCACGATAGAAGACCGTTCTTTCGACTGCAACAACAAACTGTACAGATGAGGTGCTCGCTCCACCAAGAAACAAAATAGCAGCATAGATAGCTCCCAATAGATTTGTCAAGTCTTGTTGTTTGTGCCTGTTAGTTACGTTTATTTTGTTGTGAGAGAAAAATACAAATGGACAAGAAAGCATTAATTTCCTAGATTACTTACGTTTCCCGTCCTTTTTTCCAGAATATAACTCCAAATATAACACCAATAATTGTTGTTAAGAAAAAACGATTGGCATTGTACTCGGGATTTCTCCAGTAAGATAAATGTAGTTTCCAGAAGCAAGCCTTCCATTGAGCAAAAAAAGGTTGGGAGAATTTGGTACGAAAACATAGGTCTTGAGACCCTGGTGCTGGAGTGCTGAGCTTCTTGATAAGTTCTTGATTCCTCCTGTAGAGAGGGGGGGGCGGGCGTTGGTGAGGGAGGTTGTTACTGTAGCATGAAATTTTACTCGCTAATGAATATGATGATAGAAGTAGGAGGAATTCATGATATTGGGTTGTCTATGTTTGACATACATATATAGATTAGAATTTGCATAAATCTCTGCAAAGTCCACATATTGGGTTGTCTATGTTTGACATACATATATAGAATAGAATTTGCATAAATCTCTGCAAAGTCCACATCAAGTTGAGCCTCAGCTATAGGAGAACTGATTTCTAGCATCCATGTAGCAGGATTACAACCATCTCGGATCTTAGGAACACAAGGAATGGACTGCAAGAGATCTCAGATCAGTGATTAGTACCAAAATAAGTGTGAGAATCTTACAATTTGCGAATAAATGACACTCACTTCAAAATATTTTACTAGTAAGTGAGAATGGTGACCAAGAGGTCCAGCAAAAATCACTTGTCCTCCTCTCTTCATCAACAATAGCTACAAAGAAAATTATATTGGAATACAGAAGCACCACAGCCTAAATGGGGATTATAAAATTTTTAATTTCAAGTGCAAAATCTTGTCATTCTTAATTACCTCATCAAAAGCTTCAAAAATATCTATGCTTGGTTGGTGAATTGTGCAGACAACAGTTCTACCTGTATCTACTGTGTTTCTCACTGTTCGCATCACAATTGCAGCAGCTCTAGCATCAAGGCCTGATGTAGGCTCATCCATGAATATGATGGAGGGATTAGCAACCAATTCTACTGCTATGGTGAGCCTCTTACGCTGTTCAGTTGAGAGACCATCAACTCCTGGAAGGCCAACTACGGAGTCCCTCAGCATGTTCAATTCGACCAACTCCATTACCTTTTCAACAAACATCTAGACCACCAAAGCATCAAAGTTAAAACAATTTGAAACCCTTAGGGGACACTAAGTCATTAAACATGTTGTCATGCTGAATTTGTTAGTCACAAAAAGACATAATTTAGATATTTCAGCTGAAATGATCAAATGCATCTCAAAACATAAATTTCGCGAAACATGAACTTTTGGCATGTTTTATTGTCTCAAAGACATTGTCTATGACGGAGAAAGAAGAAAAAGAAAAAGTTCACTACATTAACCTTATGAGAGTTGCACTGCAACATTAATAAGAAAAACAAACCTGATGAATTGCAAGAGGAGGACAAAAGAACAAGGTTTGGGTGACCAAAAAAAAGAGAGAGAGAGAAGTTAAGGTATAAACTTTTCCTAATCTCATTTCAACATTGTTAAGAACAACAGACCGAATGAACAACAAACTTAGGAAACAACTATGGACCAGGCAACAAAAAACTAACCTTCAATGTTTGCTTCTTTACATTTGGAGCAAGACGCAACCAAGCAGAGTACACAAGAGATTCATAGACAGTAATATGTAGAGAATGTATATCATTTTGTTCACAATAACCACTAATACGAGCAAAAGTTTCTTGGTTCTTTGGGTAACCAGAAATGCTGATACTTCCTTCAATGTATCCACCCGTTTTTCTTCCTGCTAACACATCCATCAAAGTGGTTTTTCCAGCACCACTAATACCAACTAATGCTGTTAGAATACCAGGCCTGAAAGCACCACTAACATCTTGTAACAGTTGGAGACGAGGTTTCTCAATTCCTTGGTTCTTCATTTCCTGATGAAGAAACCAGAATGGATGACAGTGAAAACTCCTTACCTTAGTTTCTGGATGTATGCTGATTGTACAAAGTAGTGAACATTCCTTCAATATATATTATGCTTTTTGCAATACAAGTATTTAGAAATTATTAAGTTGCAAACTTATGTCCAAGCTGCCTTAGTGTATTATATGTCTATTCGATTCATGGCTAACTTAAGTTCATAAGCATCTAATTTGAATCATTCTGAAAGGATTGATATGGAAAATGTTGGCAGGGCCAAGTTATTCGATATATGAGCCAAATTTTCTCCTTATACCATCAATGGCTAACTCTATATAGTTTATACAAAATGGGATCAGCCAAGTAGCATGTAAGACAGGGAAAAAAAACTATTTAAAAAAAAGAACACAAATACCCATCTATTTAGTGGATAATTATTTCTGGATTTTGCATGATTCTCAGAAGCCATCTTTTCCTATACATTTGAGAGATGCAACCGAAAAAGAGAAATGGAGAAGAAAAACAAACTCCCCCCCCCCCAAAAAAAAAAAAAAAAAAAAAAAGAATCTCTATAGAGCGAAAGCATGCAGCATCAACTAATATTTAAAACTGAAGATAATTTACTTACAGCAGGCATATCAATGTAGTAATTCACATGATCAAATACAACTGACAAGGGTTGGAAGGGCAGCACCATTCCTCTTCTGCTGGCATTAGTTGCATCACTTAAGTTGGTACGCCATGGAGCATTCTTTACTGCCATATTTATTTTTGAAGTCATTCAGATTCCATTAGCAACTAGACAAGGAACAAGCTCACTCATAATATATCAAATGACTTAGCTTTGGAAGCAATAATTGCAAATGCTGATGTTGTTGCCCATACATAACACTACAAAACAATATCCATAATAGATCATGAGGCAGTTAATACATTTTGTTTGTGTCTAAGTTTTTGGGTTATGGATAGACTTGGTTACCTTTCAAGAATAAAGAAAGAATAGTTTAAGTGTGAACTTCTGAAATTTACATTATCTAAATAAACATAGTATAGAAACATTGTCATTAGAAGTTTACTGTTTCGTTACTTATTCCAGAGAAGAATTCTCGATAACTTTCAGATATGTAAGAATGGAAATACTCAAAAATTTGATATATGGAAAAAAGATTCACTGCCAATTTTGGAAACTAATCAGTTTGTGGATATAAAGAGCCACATGCATTATAGTCGCTGTGGGCCTCCAAATAGGTCTTAGAGAGGTTAGCCTTTCACCAGCCCTTCTTCTGTTTGCAGTTCTTTTCATGAGGTTGATAAAAAGGCAAGGTCAATGATGAAAACCCCCAAGTTAAAGTAACTTTTACCAATAAGAAGTTTTTCCTAGAACTCTAGCTCTTGGAATTATTTGTACACCCCCATCAGTTTGCTTAAAAAGATTTCTTAGCCAGTGCCATATATTTTCTTAAAATTTACAATCTTGTATGAATGAGATAATTAAGATGGCAATAATTAAGATGGCAATTATAGAGTATAGTGCAAACAATATATGCCATGGTTTTCATGGGTGAAGGAAACTATGTAAGAAACTAGTAGTCTTGCACAATGTATCTATGTGTAAAATAAGGTCCAATTCACAAACTTTGCGTATAAACATGAAACTTAAAATGATAAAAGCATAGAAAGATTAGAAAACCCAATTGGAATTCTTAAGAGGCAAGGGTAGGTAACCTTTAACTGATGGAGCTGTAGTTGTTGAACTCTTTTTAATTTTATTGTCCCCGTCTTGGATACCAGATTTTGAATCTCGTAAAGCTGCATTTCAGTTACAAAATATTTGTAAAATGCAAAGCAGAATTAAACACTACAATTATAAGGAGAGTACTATGAAAATTTTTATCTTATGATCCAAGTATGTCAGTGCTACAATGAAGCCAACATTGAAGAGAAGAGAAAACCCAAAGAGTGCAATGATACAAATCCAATACATATAGTCATCCATGAACATTCCCCTGGACTTGAGAAGAACCTTTCCAATTGTAAGTTCAGCAAAGCTTGGATCTGTATTGGGCTGTAGAAACAAACGAGAAGGTGTATCTTATGACAGTCAAATAATGTGCAAAATTCAAGTTTGAAAAGAGTAAGGACAGGTGTTTGTAAACCATAAACTGGGCTTACAGTGCTCCATCTCTCATCAAGAAATTCATTGATGGCTATGGCATTCAGTCCATACGTCATAGGAGAAACGTAGTAACCCCATATCACCCAGGGTTTTATGTCATCTACATATNATAATTAAGATGGCAATTATAGAGTATAGTGCAAACAATATATGCCATGGTTTTCATGGGTGAAGGAAACTATGTAAGAAACTAGTAGTCTTGCACAATGTATCTATGTGTAAAATAAGGTCCAATTCACAAACTTTGCGTATAAACATGAAACTTAAAATGATAAAAGCATAGAAAGATTAGAAAACCCAATTGGAATTCTTAAGAGGCAAGGGTAGGTAACCTTTAACTGATGGAGCTGTAGTTGTTGAACTCTTTTTAATTTTATTGTCCCCGTCTTGGATACCAGATTTTGAATCTCGTAAAGCTGCATTTCAGTTACAAAATATTTGTAAAATGCAAAGCAGAATTAAACACTACAATTATAAGGAGAGTACTATGAAAATTTTTATCTTATGATCCAAGTATGTCAGTGCTACAATGAAGCCAACATTGAAGAGAAGAGAAAACCCAAAGAGTGCAATGATACAAATCCAATACATATAGTCATCCATGAACATTCCCCTGGACTTGAGAAGAACCTTTCCAATTGTAAGTTCAGCAAAGCTTGGATCTGTATTGGGCTGTAGAAACAAACGAGAAGGTGTATCTTATGACAGTCAAATAATGTGCAAAATTCAAGTTTGAAAAGAGTAAGGACAGGTGTTTGTAAACCATAAACTGGGCTTACAGTGCTCCATCTCTCATCAAGAAATTCATTGATGGCTATGGCATTCAGTCCATACGTCATAGGAGAAACGTAGTAACCCCATATCACCCAGGGTTTTATGTCATCTACATATATAGTTATAATAATTATTTGGAAAGAATGATATAATTGCATAACTGCTTTAGTGAGTTTCAATATACTTTGAAATGTTTGAACTTAATGTCGCTGTTTGATATAGAATCAAACCACTTGAGTGAACAAAAGTATCAATAGTACAATGACATAAAACACTAACCTTTGGCAACAATGAATCCACCAAGGACAAAAGACATTAGCAACGTAAAGGTAGCAAGTGTGCTTGCATTAGTCAGTGTTCTACCAAGTGCCGAAATGAAGCGGAAGAGAGACAAAGCCATTTGATGTACACCGAAAAATGCCAAAATTTGGCAAAAAAATCTGCACAGTTACAAGTTGCAAAATTGTGTAAGCAATTCTTGATATTATCTTGTCATCAGTTCTGGTGATTGTTGAACCAAGTATGGACATTAAACAAACATTCGAGTTTATTTGTGGCCTCTGACTATCCTTTCACATACTTCCACATGAAAATTACTTCCTAAGTATAAGAATGTGTGTGCAACCACATACCTACTAGCAGCAGGAGCAAACCCAATTGTGTAATATGTGAAGATAATCCATATCGATGATTCTATAAGGGAGAGGGGGATCCTCATCAGCCAAATTGGAATGGCAAAAGCCCATGCAGGATAAAACAAGGCATCCCTCTGTTTAAAGAATACAGGAAGCCTAAACATAGTAAGGGGAATCTCAGCCGTTCCATTTAACATCACATTCAGGAGACTAAAAAATAGTGCACCATAATATTTGCCTCCGTCTTCCAATCGGCCATGTTTCATTTCAGTTCTAAAGAAAACTGTGAAAGTAACTATGGACATGATTGTAATCTGTGTGGTCTTGAATATGTAGAGAAAGGAGTTGCGTTTCATCAATAGCCATTCTCTGGCCAAGGATGCCTTTAAAAGCTCCATATTGGAAATACCATACTTCCTAGTCACCAATGCAGAATGATGGGCTTTGGTTTTGTCATACGGAATCCCAAGTTCATCATAAAGTTGTTGTCCAATGTGGAAAGATTTGAAGTGCTCCACAAGCTTTGGAACTGAAATAAATCGGTAACGNGTCCAATGTGGAAAGATTTGAAGTGCTCCACAAGCTTTGGAACTGAAATAAATCGGTAACGTTTGTTCTTTTTGAACCAAAATTGCCTTTGATCCTTCCTCGAAGTGACCTCTTGAAGAAAATCAGCAACTCCCTTCCTTTTGGGGCATTTGAATCCGACACTCTCAANCGTTTGTTCTTTTTGAACCAAAATTGCCTTTGATCCTTCCTCGAAGTGACCTCTTGTAGAAAATCAGCAACTCCCTTCCTTTTGGGGCATTTGAATCCGACACTCTCAAAGAAATCAAGAACATTCTCTTGTGGACCTTGGTAAATAATTTGTCCCTCTGATAGCAGAATAATGTCGTCAAAAAGATCAAAAGTTTCAGGTGCAGGCTGCAGAAGTGAGATTATCATTGTTGAATCCATACTATGAACCATCTGCTTCATAAACTTCACAATTTGGTAAGTGGTAGAACTATCCAGACCTGTTGAAATGCCATCCATGTAAAATACTTTGGCCGGCCCAACCAACATTTCTCCTACACATACCAACATATATTAGAATGTCATCACAAAAGGAAACTCATTAAACAGAGAGGGAGAGGGAGACCTTACAAAATGGAGATTTTTTTTTTTTTTTTTTTTTTTGGGGGGGAGGGGGGGGGGGGTAAAAAATTTTTTCCAAACCGGGTG